TGCGGGTAGGTGGTGTAAGGGAAATTGGAACTAGCGTTTAAATGAACAGAACAGAAACGCGTATCACAAGTGAAACACTTGTGCTCAGATAGACCGACTGGCTGACTGACGGAGGTGCCCGCAACACGTAGTCAATTCGTCAGAAGCATGGAGCACACGCACACGCAGATGTGATGGGTTGAAACACGACAAGCTTGATCACCGGACAACAGGTAAAGCATAGACACACTGAAAACACAAACACTGAATGAGACTATTTACAGGACAAGGGTTTGTTGACTAAACACACACACACATACACACATGAACATCCATACGTATGGATGGTGCCAACGTTACTTCAGGCGATCTTTGCACCGGCACTGAATGGCACTCCTGAGAAGAGAAATTGAACAAGACGTGCTTGTTGAAAGTGAATATTTTTTCAAAGAAGAATGCTTCACATGAGGCTGTAATTGAACACGCACCATAACTCAGTTTGATGCAACGATGGGTGGATAGATGGATGGATGCAAGGCTGAATGAATGAATATGATGCCCATTCTGTTAATTTGTTTTTTTTTCTCCGTTACGCAGCGCGACTTTTTTAAACTTTAATAAAGTACTCAAAAATCTACTTTGGAAAGATAGGGCATTATCCTCAGTAGAACAGCCAATAAAACGCATTTTTTTCACAAAAGACTTTATTCACAACGTCCAACCCACTCCGCGTTGGTTTTATCAAACATTTCACGTTTGAAAACTGATTNCACCAGTGAATTTACAATTGTAGTAAAGTGGACAAAACAGATCATCAGGTATAACCGAGAATGGCAATAAACGTGGCAAAATCATTGAAAGTTTGGTGGCACTACGCACATCCGATAGCCAGTCAGTCACAAGGTTATCTACTGCAAAAAAACTCAAAACGCAGTTGGTTCCAGTTCTTCTGCATAGCCGAATTACTGTCCTTTTACGCGCCAATTAAAAAGCTGTCAATTAGACTCCGTCATCCAGTTGTATGTCTCCCCGAAGGGTTTAACGAAATGAACCATCTGTCATGAAATAGAACTTTTTTCTATTTCTGGTAGTCTGTTGGTATGTGTCTGTTGACAAGCTTATTTCACTTCGTTGATTTAAGTGGTTAAACAAAATGTTAACATTTCACGACCTTTATCTTCTTTTGTCTTGATATTTGTCATTCTATGGACCCGAGTTATTTATTTTTCTTCAACCGGACGACTTTTTGACTGACCTTCAGCGCAGTGTGGGGGTTGCTCGTCCGAGCCATCGCGACAATCGGGACGACCATTGCAAAAGTATGCCTGGGGCAGGCACGTCCCGTCACGACACATCCACTCCGAGGGCCCGCAAGGTGACTCAATTATGATCTCAGTCTGGGACATTTCCCCGGTCGGATAAACGCATCTTGAAATGAGGGGTGGAGGCAGAATCAAACACCAGTACAGTTAAGTGTTTACACGTGGGTTTCGGAACTTAAATATCAGATTTAAACTTGTGACTGTTCGAGAACAGAACTTTTCATTACAGTGAACGGGAAGTGAACGAAAGAGTCCGTTATTTTATCATTGCATTTCCCAATTTGATGACATTTTACGGAGACTTGATTCGACAAACGAGGGGGTCAAACTGCTCCTGAATTTCACTGTGATTCTTTCGGATTACTAGCTAACTTTGGCGTTCAGTATTCTCAAACAGAATTAGCAGTTCACTGATAACCACGTACTGAAAGACCATATTTCGATCCCTTTCGGTCAGGTCACTGATCCGGGCAATTACCACCTCGTTTTGCGGTCGAATCACCTCGAAACGGGGCAGATATTCCACCGCAGTCCCGTTTGGCAGACGCAATTCCGGTCGAATGTTTGGCTGATTTGATCGGCACTCGATTTCCACTGATCCGTACGGTCGAATTATCGGGCGTTCCGGTCGAATGGTAGGTGGCAAAACGGATGGGCCTGTTCGCATTTCAAGGTGGACAGAGGAAGTCGGATTACATTTAAACAAAACAACAGGGAGGCGAACAAGCTCGTTTTCAGAGATTCATATTCATGCAAATATATCTCAATATATCTCTACTTGGGAATAATATTGCCATGGGAAAACAAAATAAGATAAAATCACAGATTACTAGAAACGATTTCACCGTGAGACCGGAAATCAGGTTCATCACGATCACATACTTGTTTGTCCACTCATTCGATCATCGAGGTTATTCGCGATGCGGTGTGTGTGGGGTGGGTCGGATTAGTTTATCGATACGAAAATTTGGACTGTTGAGTTTGGGTTCACCTCATCGACTTGTGTACAAACAAGGCATTGTGGATGATGTCCTATGCAGGTTTCACTCTTTCAGAGATTCCCTATTCCATACTTTTTTGAGGTTAGAGCAAGGACACAAAGTGTACATGCTGGTAGTGTGTTCAAGGCATGATTCAACACCCGATCCAGTACTGTTTGTCTTTCATTAGGAACAATTTAGTCCCCGACACAAATTCTTTTCACTTCATTTCATTAATAAAATAATAATAAAATTAATAAAATCGTTTTAATATGGTCTGATTACAATTATCTAAACAAGACCCGGTTATGGGCAAACCGTTTTTCTACAATCGGTCAAAATAACGAACGTGCAGTTCCGACGAATCCTATTGACCAAAAATCCTCTTGCGGATGCCTGTTGAGAGTGGTGAATAAATGTTGGAGTTATTTCCTATCTTTGGTTTAGCTCACTCCTGTTCATACTGGTTTACGACTAATGCACGTAGCTGTTGATTAGCCTTTATGTTCTGAACATTTTCTCCTTTAGTCTCCGTTAGTTAGTTCACCCTCCTAATACGTGCTTCCACGGAAGACCTGAGGAGACAGATNGGAATAACGAACATCCGGAGGATGGAGGAACATTTACATAACTGATCGATCAACCCCATTCCGAAACCATTTAAGCTCGTAATCACCACAAGGAATATTACAAAATCTTATAAACGAAAATACCCTGTGTCATCAGAAGCCATTAGGTCGGTCGCCATTCATCATACATAATTATCTATTTGGTCAGACACTCGGGGTTGGAAGAGGGACAGAGATCAAGCGTTAGAAGCTCACACTATGCTAATAAGAAGAATATTGTTACTTTAACTTTACTGTAATGATGTGTCTCACTGTGTCATCCTCCTCCTCCTTTTTTGGTTTGATTCAGTGGAGCCCCACGGGCAAATCCTTTCTTTCTACAGTAAGCACCAGCTAAGAGGAAGTTAACTGTCGTATGTCAGAAATATCGATGAGTAAAACATTGCTTACGTTGCTGCAAACTATGGGCACACGCAAACGATCTGAATTAGTGGGACCTCCCCACATTGAGTAAGATTTGATAAAGAAATGCCCTGGAAATGTAGGTCAGATCGAATTGGTTTCATTTTATGATCTCCGGAAATTAAAGTTTATTAAAACGATAATGAAAATGATAGGTGTGAAAGTAGGCCTCCGTAATCTGCATTCGAGTACTTGATTACTGATCAAGTGTAACCCTCACAATAACAAAATGTGGTCCTCGGGGAGAGCCCAATGGTTGCACGTACCACATCCCACTTCATCCGATCCGTCATAGCAATCCCGGTGACCATCACAACGACGACGAGAGTCGATACACTCGGATGAGCCGCATACAAATTCGTATGACTGACACCGACTAGTTGCTGGATGAAAAATGAACAATGGTTAGGCATGTGTTACCTTCTTCAGAAAAAAATGCATAATACATGAAGCCGGCAGCTCAAACATTATGTTTTATTCGAAACTGCAGGTGTTAGTCTTAAATGATTTTTTGCACACATTTTTTGTGATGATCAGCAGATAAAGCGAACCCCAAAGTGGTGCAGACCGCCATTCTGGGATGGAAACCGGTAGCCCGAGCCCCGGACTTGGAGTGGCGAGCTGGCCAAGCTGGGTTATGCGTAGCATTAAACCACAAAGCAAAGCCGCCTGCCCCCCAAGCTGGGCGGCCGTGGCGCGGTTCGAACCTCGGACCATGGAGTCCAAAGCACACGACTGACAACGGCTAAACCACTGCACCACGAATAACGTGCGAGACGGCCTAATTAAAGAGGAGCTTTTTACGTTGGAGGAAACCAATGCACAAAACCATATGGTGAAAAACCTAAGAAAAATGGTAAAATAACGATGAAATTGATCGAAAACAAGCTTAGTGAATACGAGATTGTTGCGGATACAACTTAAAACACGATCAGAGAGCAACACAATTTAAGGCGCAGTTTGACACTATAGCACTTGCGGCCGCTTACTCCGTGTTGCTGTTTAGTATTAACATCTTCTTGCAGATTTTTGAGTTTAAGAGTGATCATTACTACCAAAAAATATCGGACTAACTAAATGTACTCCTTCTAGAGTAAGAAAAATGCGAGTTTTCCAATCTTTTTGTGTGACCTATTGGGAATGGGAACAGAGAGACACGGTGTTTTTTTGGTATGATGGTTTCCTCAAACTGGTCGGCTTAAAACCGTACCTCCATGCTAGCTTCTCACTCTGTGGCAAAGTAATTCTTTTAATTTCGACGTTGTGCCATCCTGTCGTGTAAAACATACCGGGTGCGTAGTTTTAGCCTCAGAATTCTTCTGGAAATTAAGGCCAAAATGTGTAAACCATTTTCCTCAGAGTGGCTTNTTGTCCAAACCAAAAGACTGCTGTAATTTTTCGTTGAAATTCAACCCACTCATTTGTCTATGACAACGCATCTGATGATGGGGAGTTGGTATTTGCTTAGACGCAACCTTAATCAAGTGATCGCCCCGAAGTTAATCTTTCCGAATCCTGCTTGCGGATTGGGTGATCGACAAACCTTCTTTCTGAGCACTGATAAGACAATTGTGTTACAAGCACTGCATCAAAGTAAAGCGAAGATTTACGATACTACTTAGGCATTCCATCGAACATTTGATTTACTTCCATTTCTCAGGCACTTAGTATTATTTTATGAGTATTAGGCTTTTCACGAGAACTGTGTAACTGTATGCAAATGGTGGTCAGTATGATACGATATATCGGTTCTCCATCTCCCCGCCCCTTATTCAATAGGAACCTTCCCCACAAAATAATGCTTGTTGAACTTCCACTGATTTTCTAATAGCAAAAAATGAAGAATAAGTGAACCCATTTCGTACTTTCGCAATGTGGCCACTGCTCGTCTGATCCGTCTCGACATTCCGCTCGTCCGTTGCAGAAATACGACTGTGGAAGACACGACCCGTCACGGCACATCCATTCTGAGGGACCACATGGCGATTCAATGACAATTTCCGCCTGGGACATTTCTCCCGTCGGATAAATACACCTGGAATGAGAAGCACGTTAACGATGGACCAGCTGTAGATTCACTACACACGCGATTGCTAGCGCAAGAATACGGACTGAATCATGTTGTGCTTTTGTGAATCAAAATAGCTAAGGCGCAATATCAGTCCGGTTCAAGCGAGCTTTCCATCGAATGGCCAGCATTGTTTGAATAAGAGCAGTTTGACGAACATGCCACCTTTTTTCGTTTTTTTCCGTCATCTAACTAGCTACCCAGTTCCTATCAAGCTGCGTCTACAAGTTGCATCCACAATATGAATATTCAGCATTTCATGAAATCATAATCAAAGGCGGTCAAAAAATCAGTCGATTCAGAAGTCTATCGTCACAACTGATGCAAGTCTGCCACTGGTTAACTCCAAAGCGTGTAACAGATGGAAAAACGCGGTTCATGTAAGGATGTTTACAAAAACAGAGGGATTAATTCAAATCTAGAGCCGGCTCGGTTATTGGTCATGAATGCACGTATTGATTTTCGTCACACACTGATATATACCTTTCCGATAAGCATGAACATAATACAGATATCACAATCTCTGTAAAATACTGAACTCAACCATAGAATAACTTCGGTTTTGCAACCACCACATGGGAAAAGAATTTCAAGGAAGCCAACCGACAGTTTAGAGGGAAAAGAAAAAAAATATGGACTGGGGCGGGGAGGATGTAGAACATGAGAATGAAGCCAATGATCACGAATTGAAGGAAATCTCGGTGGAGAGATAAAAGTCGGGATAAATGGAATGAGCGCAATAACAGCCCAGCACACGAGTGCGTTGACCTGCAAGCTAGCAGAAAAAATAGAAGACATGGTTAGATATAATATAATCGAAAAACACTTGATCAGTACCCGTCAGATGGGTTGGTAAACAAAGTGTGGTTATCCATAAGCTCTAATGTTACAAAAAAGCTTTACAAACCGAACGGAGGAAATTGCTCGCCGGGATTCCATTAGTTTCTTCTTTCAGCGTTCTTTCGCTGCGTAAATTCTATTTGTGTTAAATATGGAAATGATTTCCGACCTCCTGATCATTTCCTTATTGTCACACTGGTATTATTATCATTACGTATCAACAGCTATATCCGGGTACACTTTTAAAAAGGTCTTCTTCCTACCTGTACAATAATCCTTGTAGAAATGGTCACATAAACTGCTAAATGCCATTTTTCAAAAGATGACAACTACCACGTGAGAGAACAAACGAATTGTACAAGAAACATTGTCCATTCGGCTTGAGCATAGTGTATCCGGACGAAACTCACTGTACAACCATATTCCGATCGCGTTCTGTCAGGTCCTTAACCACGGCAATGATAACTTCATGCTGCGGTCGTGAGACTGTAAATCGAGGCAACAATTCCAATGAACTCCCATTGCTCAATCGTAATTCCGGACGTATACCGGGTTCGTATGAACGACACTCGATTTCCAAGGACCCATATGGACGAACGATCGGGCGCTCAGGTCGTATGGAGGGTCGGGACGCTTTTGTGGTATCGAGAAAGAAAAACATGAAAAGTTTTGTTTTCACATCACTTGTTTGGGCAATGTTTAGCCATTTTTGTCATTGAGCTCACTCCCTGACAGAATGTAATTTAGTTTATTTTACATTATTTACAGCAAACGCTAATGCCTGTGCCCTAGAGTAGTAAACCATGTGAACCAAAAGTCAAAGTTGATGACTACAGTTTTCTCACACAAACCCCGGTTTGCAAATTTCTTAAGCAAAACGTTGTCCATTGTGAAATTGTCTAGGAGATAGGATAATGAAATCCTGCTTGAGCTTAGTAAGCTCCTGCTTCAAATTAATAAATCATGAGGTCTGTCACAGTTCAATGAAATCCCCTACATTCAACGGCAGTGACTAATGATCGTAATATCGTGCAGTACTGATCTGGAGTAAGCTAGCGAGACTAACCACAGACAGTTCAAGTGGTTAATAGTCTACGGGATAACTAAAGTAGCGTGATTGTGTTCAAGTCAGGGAATGAACTGAAAGCATCTGCTTTGCCAGTTACTCACACTGAGGGTGAAATAGCTACACAATACTTTCAATACGTCCAAGCGGTAAGTGACATCCTTCCGGTGCCGGATGAATGCACTAACAACTTTCTTACGCATCTCTCTGTGCACGGGAAATGAAAATTTAAGTTCAAAAGTACAAATTAGCACGATTTTTGAAAGACTTTATATAGAACCACATATGTTCCACTGGTTTTATGATGAAAGAAGACAAGCGACTGAACGTTTTGACTGATTTGAACTGACTATCCTTCGGACTCCATCTTTACGCACAATCCTCAGTTGATCGATTCAACCATACACTCGAAAGCGCTAGACTCGAGTCTAGGATAATCTGTTCAAGTCAATAAATATCAATTGTCATACACAAGTAAATGTAGGTTAAATTGCGAAAAACGGTTTTTCTCGAATTTTCTTTCGCACGATTAACCAAAGAAATTCAAAGGCTGTACACTGATGGCCAATCCAACTAGTTTTCGAGGTGCCAATGATTTACCAATGATTTTACCAATGAATATCCATGTAGCATTACGGAAGAAGCACGAAACAAAGGCCTCTTATTAATTATTCACAAACAATGGTTCCAACCGTCCCAAACAATACTGATCAATCAATGTAATTGGATTACTTTTGGTATGCATCGTTTTACTACTCATGAGTAAAAACAGATGAACAAAAGAAATCTACGCTGATCAAGAAAATAGCGTTCACAGTCGATTCAGTTGAAGGACATCGAACCCAAACGGGAAAGAAGACAAACAGTAAAGAGAGCTTGGGGAGGGGTGTGTGGGAAACTTACAACATCCAACTTCATCTGATCCGTCGTAGCAGTCTTGTCGTCCATCGCATCGACGGCTAATATCAATGCACTCACCGGAAGCACATTTGTATTGGTTCATGTGACACTGGGTATCGGCTGAAGATGAAAAACCAATGGAAGTGACACATCATTGTTAGTAAAAGCTGTTGAACAGCATCTTCTTGAGGCAAACAGAATTATAAATGTCGTAATTTGTAAGTTGGACAGGATATCGCAAACCAGTGCAAAGATATGATGAAGCATTAGGATCCATAGGATGGTAGTGATCGATCTAATTAGTTTCCGATTCTATAAATAACGAAAGAATGAATGAGATGATTTCTCCTAACTAAGAAAAACTGTGTGCCTTCTCCGAGTTTACGTGGAGAATCACTGTGGGTCTTTCTGATTGGGCTCGTCAACAGTGAATATTGCAAATTACAGTGATAGTATCGGTAGTTGTGGGGTTTCTGTTAATGAAAGCATGAAAGAATGTTTTGTTACCCAATCATGAGTAATAAAGTTAAAGTTAAATAGAGCAAACATCCATTGCACTGACATTTAAACACGTCATCGCGATCATGGAGCAGGTTGCTAATGCCTGCTTGGGTTTTGAGCTCTATATGATTGTTTATTGATAAATTGGTCGCTTTCCTCATGCTAAATATCAGGGTTAGCAGTTAAACTTTGACTTTCCCGCCGTCTGTGTGCATGTTCTGCAAAACAGTTAGTGTTTGCAATCACCCGGTGACTTTTGAGAGACAGAGAAATAACGACTCTAGATTTTCGATATACAGACAACTAGCATGTGATCTGTCTATCTATCTAATCAAACCCACGAAGGTACAAGATGAAGATCGCCGGTAGGTTCGATGTATCTGAATCATAGCAATGCAAAACAATAGGTAAGACTTGATGCATTGGGAATCTCAAGAGAAAAGGAAAAAAATTGGACACAGCATGAACGCACTCACAATCGAGTAGGTTACTGACATAGGATTTTATCGATGTTTTAGAAAAAAGGCCCTTATCACTTGTTCCAGGAGCTGAAGAATCAGTCCTATGATAAACGCGCATGTGGTCATCCGAATAGTTTTATGATGACAAATGACTGTCAAACAATAGCACCGAAAAGGTTCAGCAGTGATGGAGGTGTGCATAACATAGATAGAAGCAAATTTGTTTAATGAATGACGCGAGAGCAACCAGCGGTAAAAAATAAACATTTGATTGTGATTTGAAAAATGATGCCAAATTGAGCCAAGATAGTGGGAGAAAAAAAGTTTTTAAAACTTGTGATCTAATTTATTGCCTTTGGACAGAACAAATCTGGCTAGATGGTTGTTAAGTAAATGTTATGCCCGTGCGTGTGTCTCCAAGATATCATATCAGAAATGTGGCCAGAGAGCGCTTACCATGAATAAAAAAGGCGTACAACACAATCCTTTTTGCTTTGCTTGTCAATCAGACGGCAATAAAATATCCACGGGTTACAAAGCTAATGTGGTAACTTTAATCAATAGATGATGAGGGCTTTGGCCGCTTGCCGACAAACAGATGCACGCCAGATTCAGGTTCCTTGCTTGCACGTAAAGTTACCAAATAACTGAATGAATCTACGAAATCTGTCCGTTGTGTGTTTCCGGACTACTCATCTACTTGTGATTCTACTTCTTTTTCCATTCTTCCTCGTTAATTGAATAATTTCGGTTGTCCCAGGCAATTATTAGCTTGGGTTGTTAATTACTTTTCTGTGCCAATCAATGCACTAGGCTAGGTCGGAGGAAGTCGAAACACTTATTGAAAAACTCCTGACCACTCCAAGGTACAGTCATTTCCACATACTTATTTTCTGTGTACATTAGTTATTTGTTTGATAACGCTCTATACCTCGCTTCAACTACTCTGACGATGTGATTTTATGTCAGGCTATCTTCGCTTGTTCTAGTCTTTCACAATTTTGTGGAAAACGTTCAAACATTTTCCGTCACACCCGGTCTCTTCGCTCACCCCATCAAATTTTCGATTATATCTTTACGTTATCACGTTCCTCTTCCCCATCTGCACTGGTATCGATTGGCTCTGAATCAGGATCCCTGGTGAGCTTTATTAAATACTTACGGTCTTTTATCGATGCTAAACTTCATTGGACTTCTCATATTCAAAATTTGGTCACTAAATTTCGACGACTATCCATGTTCGTCAGTTTCTAATTCAAAAGTTGACTATCTCGAAATTCCTGCACCTGTATGTTTTCTTCGTTTGATTTTATTTCCCACCTGTTGTTTTTCCAATTTCCTAAAGAAAAACTTTAAATTGCTTTGAGGTGGAAGGACCATCATTAGCCGTGTCTCTTCGATACCACTGGAGGAGTTGATAACTAACCTGTGTGAACGTCATTTGAATGCATTTGAAAAGCTTGCACTCAGGATTCTCATGGATCCCACACATACACTCTAAACAAATTTAATTTCTCACTCTTCAAATAGATACCTCTATCGTTGTGTTTCCACTCGAATAAACATACATAGTAACTCTACGGCCCCCCTCTTCAGCATTTATTCTAGTTAACAAAAGACACGTTTCACAAGTTCAGTCAAAAGTTTTGGGGTTTTAATTTTTATCCTCCCCTAACTCTTTAATGTGCATACACTTTTGACTGAAATATAAGCTTTACGCCTACATAAGTTATGGTTACAGTACAATGCAATACAACTGATTCACATCGAACTATTGGGCAGTGGTGGCCTGGTGGTGACGTCACCAAATTATCACTCAGGAGGATGTATTCAAATCCAACCAGCACTGCCTACTTTTCCCCGTTGTGTTGTATGGCAGCCCTATTGTTGGCTCTTCCCCCTTTCTGGAAAATTGTATCATTATATATTCAATGAAATGAAATAAAAAAGGAGAGGGAAGGAAAAGGAGAGGAGTACTTGTGTTGGAATAGTCATTTGAGTGATTCAAATGAATAACATGAGCCTTATTGTAAAAGGTATTGCAGTCGGGTGTGTTTGGGGTGGGGTGGGGAGATTTCAACTGGATTCGTTAGAATGGCATGTACATTCTCTGCAGTAAACTTGGGAGGTTGAGGAAAGCCCGTAGTTTGTACTTCATTCCCCCCCTTGATTTGAGGATTTTTACGAAAAATTCACTGGTACGATCTTTCAAATACGATCAAAACAGAGTGCGTTAGTTATGGACCAATATACGTAACATTAACACTCGTGATTGGTGTCGGGGCTAGCATGTTTCACGCTGGATTGGTCTTTATCATCGTTTACTGTCTTTTAAACTTCACGTATACCTCGACAACTCTTATAGAACAGAACACCACAATTGGACTGACAAACACTAGTTGCGCTGCGAGAGAGAGGGGTAATTTGTACGTAACACTTCACCATCGAACAGTTAGATCTCGTAGCATCATTGGGACAGACCAATCGGTTTTGCTTTTTTAATTCCGTGTTTTTGTGCACTTCGTTGCGCAATCGAAACGGTCGAATGCCGATTAGAATCCATTGAAAATTAGCGTGGTCCGCCATTCGATGTTCAATGAGTCGTCGATTTGCGTGGCTTTCACCATCCTGAGTTTTGATTACTTCAGTGTCTCTTTGGGTACTCTAACTCGTTATTCGTCATTTAAAATAAATGTGATTCTCTTGGAGTCAATCGGTAAGAAACACCGCAAAAGCTTACCGTTTTTATTGGATTACAGCTCAACGTTTGCTTCCTTCTTCTCTTTCTCTCCTTCTCTCTCTCTCGTTCCGAGTTAACGGATGTTGTTGTTCCAACATGCTTACGCAAACCAAGTCTTACCACAATTTGCAGTGCAAAAAATGTCTCTGAGTTGTTCGCTGTGCTTATGCGCCATTCATTCATTACCAGAGATAAGATAATTGACAATAGAACTTTTTAGGCACATCAACCGCGTGAAAAAACACTTGTGGAATTTCTTTTAATTCATTTCAACTGACTACCGATCACAATGTTCGTGTGATTTCTTGCACGGCAAAATTGTTGGGCGGCCGTGATGGCCAGCGGGTGGTCATCCTCGAGTGGTATGCGTAAACAAACCAGCATCCACTTGAAGTTCACTCATTGTTTACAAGCAAGGAATCCGCTTAAATGTTTACATCCGATTTTAACCTTTTTTCCTAAAATACGACGGGGATGGGGGCCGGGGCGGACACCTCCTACACGTGCACTGTACGATTGATTTACTTCTTTTGTTTTTCTATAAATCTGATATTTGCATTATGCTTGTTCGTCTCGTCCGAATCAAGTTTACTGTCCCTCGTAGGTCATCAACCGAACAGTGATTTCCGAAGCGTTGTAAACAAATCCGACAAAAAGCACATCAGTCGGCGGCACTGTACTCACCACAATGTGGTGCCTGTTCGTCTGATCCATCCGGGCAGTCTGGGGCACCGTTGCAGAAATGATAGTACGGTATACACATCCCATTTCGGCACATCATTTCCGATGAACCACAAGGTGAGTCAACGATCACGCGAGCCTCCGTTGTTTCCCCGGTTGGGTAGGAACATCTGAGAAACGAATAGAGTGAAATCATCAGATTTAGTCAGTAAGGCTCTTTTCTAACCAGTTTAAGTGGTGAACTAGTCCATATTGTCATCAATAATAGGGCTAATAACAATTTTTATTGCTCAGCACTTCTGAATTCTCACTTTGGCTAGACATGAATATTTCACCTTTATATTTCACCAGTAAAAACAAGTCTATGCGGTTGCCTCGACGTAGTCGGGCGCCGAAACGGCAAGCTGCGCTGTCGAACTGATAACACATGACTTCCACCCTCCACAACATTGTATCCTACATCACTTACACTTCCATTTGAGGTCAGTGAATATTCGTTCCATAAATTCTTACTTATCGTTTCATGAAGCAGTAGTTCTGCATTATTTGACTGTGTTTGTTTTTCGATTCTTTATCCGATTTTTAGCGAAATGCTCGAGAGCAATTTCTACCTATGTATTGCTATATGAGTTGAATTATGAACACAGTGTATATACCAGATGAGTCCATGGCACGTGAAAATAATTGATAATGGCCCTCCAAAGATATTTCTAGTAAGTTTAATAGTATACTGATTATCAAACATATCAGAACCTCATCATACTTGAACGGAGCAGGAACAAATTGATCCATGCCTTTTCAGCCTCAAGCGATTCCGTCGAAACTTCAAAGGAAATCCAACCGATTGCATTCTGCCAGGAACCTAACATAGTGATTGATTCTTCTGTCGTCACACGTCACTGATTAGAACGGGTCTATCAAAACCCCGTCCAATCGGAATAAACTGATTTCTCCATTGACAAATAAAAGTACTTTTTGCGTGAGTTACCGAGCGACTATGAAAGTTTCGATGAGATGGGGTTTGACTGTTCATCACCGCCCGACCCACCCGTTGGTCGTGTCACCAAATTTCACCTCAATAACTCCAACCCATGCCGCTGAAATAATACTGCTATTCGGATAGATCTACGCAATGAAAAATGCATCGTTCGGAATACACCGTGAGCAAAAAACTTGTCCCTGGTCTAAGGTACTGCGGTAAGCTTTGGTGATTGAGCTATCGTCAATGTCCGAGTAACTACGACCAGATGTGTTTTAGTTGTAGCACGCAAGAAACAGTGCATCGTCCTTAGTGCTTATCGAGTCGGGTTTAATTTCGATATCTCGCGCGAATCGCACGGCTTCACCGACCCACTGAATCGGCGTCCGTCAGCGAGCTCGACAAGAGGCCAGACTGTGGTCTGTCTCATTTCAACACAGAAAGAGCGTTGGTAAACAGTTTGCCAACCTGGGGGCAGACAAAAGTGTGATTAATTGACCAATGAGGTGCGCTGAACGCAAGCGAATCTAACCACAGCGTTTCTCTCCCAATTCAAAGTGATTGTTTCTCAAACCGACCTTAAAATGGTATATGTAAACCAGAATGAACAAATCCGGTGGTAATTAGCCTCGGTCGACCGAGTAATGAAGCGAACCAGGCCAGAATGGATCGATATATCGGTCACCATGATCAGGTATGAATGTTGGAATGAATCACTGCATGGGTAGGTTCATTCTAGGTCCTTAGCAACTTAGAGAGTAAATTCCATTGAGACAGGGGTCCCCCTCAAATAACAACTATTTCTTTGAGCCCAATGCAGTCGCCTGCACATTTCTGGCATTGAAAGATACACTTGATGAGATAATTAACAAAAATTGTTCAAGGATACAATGAAATAATTAACAATATTTCACTTGAATAGCGTAATCCAATTCGAACTCATTCACTGGCTAAAAGGAAATACATTTTTTCTCTGTAACTCCCGGATTAACAATGGCATGCCAATGGATTCACTTGAAGTTACGATGAATTCATTTTAAGTTGAAAAGGTGTAGTCGCACAGACCTATACTCACAATTCCCATGGTTAACTGAGATGTAGTCAGACGACCTGTTTTGTCGTAAAAACTGTGCAGTTGACCTCCGTTCATAATCACCTGTCATGCATGCTCAAGCCCGACAGTTAACTTCCCTCATACACGATTAGAATCAAGCTTTGGTTATCCCCATCGTTTCGGTTTGGACTGGACGAATGCATGCGAAAGAACAACAAGTGATTAGGCAGGTTGCCGAGATATATATCTTTGAGAATCAGGGAATGCCACCTTTTGTGTATGAAAAGTGTTGAACAAAACAAGATCTGTGATTCCCAGGAGGCTAGATTGATAAGATGAAACCGACACACCGGTCATGGTATCTCTGGAAATGGTCAACCTTGTGTGAAGACTACAACGAAGGACAGACATTCAGAGGAGTCGCTTTACAATCCTAACATTCAGAAAAATAGGAACGTAACTTAGATAATGCACATTAATATGAGAAATTAACAACGGCGAGTTGACTGCATCACGGAATGGGTTACTAGTTTGTAAATTGATGAACTAAGGGTCTCATCTATCGAAGATTGATAGATAGAACAACAATAATCAAACGGACATGTGTACACAGACCGAATCAGACTGTGTCTCGACATTGTAAGACGCCATTTGGGGAGCTATTTAGTTGAATGCGAAGAATGAGATCGTTTGCATTGACGTAAATTTGACATAGATGAACAATGAAGCCACCGTAAAAAGATAGAACAAGTCCCAAGCTCTGCCGCTCTGTTAATCTTGCAGCATGACCTTTGCTGTGTAACATGGTCAACAAGATCATTAGATCCCAGTTGCATTGAGCCCTTGTTATGTCATTTCGAAGAAAAGATATCGAAAACCTCGAAACTTCAATATTCGACGAAGCTGAAGAAGAGACGTAAAGAAGTTGATGGAAACCAACTTATCGAGATTGTGCATCAAGTAGTCTTGTAACTGCGCTATGCCAGGTGGGTGGGTATTTTCAACACTGCTAGAATTCCATTTCAATAAACCTTTTGTCTGTATCAGCCACAAGTTAACGAGCTTTCTAAGCATTTTAATCATCTTTTTGTACCAATGACTACGGCTCTCAATGATAAGAAATAACTGTAACTGACTTATCCCGATGCACTCAAACTGAGTGTGTTCAATTACGAAACCATAGGGAAGAAATTCAGCACGCCAAAGGATAACAAACGAGCGGCCTGGCTGAATGCAAACCATACGGACCGGGAAAAGGCGAACTGAAATCTTTCACACGCAAGCCCGCACGCACGCGCACCCATTTATTTATCTCCCTGTCCAACAATTGGGACATAATGTAAGCAAACAAACAGGTGAATGTAACACGAAAATTATTGCCGATGAATTCGAATCTAATTGGTGCACAAATAAAGAGTACTATCTTTTCTCTTTGCGTACACATGTGTGCGTATGTGAACTTTTTCAAGATTGTTACTCGCATTTGGGTTTTTCTATTCACCACCTAACCCGGGGCATCGGTCATTTCGATCACGCTTGTCTGCGGTCGGAAGAGTGCATTCAGACAAGGGTGGGACCAGGATGGAGTTCAGTCGTAAATCATTGTTTTTCTCCTATTGTATTTTTCACTGGCCTGGGCTTGGATTTCCGAGGCTCATCATGTGTGTTTGTTGTATTACCCGAACCGCTTTTTTATGATCTCGATGCCGGTCTGTGGCATTTTAAGAGTTAATGTTCTTCCGCGTTCGACAACTCCCCACAACTGGATAATCAACCTCATTCACCATTTTGACCCAATTACGGACACGAACACTAGATCCTTTTACACTCGCTCTCTCTCGCGCTCGCTCGATGCTACAGTTCCGGTGTTTCCATATGGACAGTGTGATTGATACGTAACGACCAGCTAATGAACATTGATGTTTCTCTCCAATGGAAACAAAACCTTTCTGTTTGTAGGGGCCTCGCGTTTTATGGTTCACAAGAAAACGGGCTTCAAACATCCTGATCTTCATTTAATAACAGACGATCGGAGAAGGGGGGGTCGTTTAACTGATTGAGAATGGACGGAACGTCGTTTGCTAATGACCACTCTCCCCCCCCCCGGNCCCCCCCGGTCACCGATTTCAGATGGTTCAGTTTGTACTTGAAGTGATATACAGTTACAGTTTTCTGTAAATACGGTGTACTGCATATTTACATCGGCATTGTAATGTCCTCCAAAAACTATAATTAAGCCCAGTATATCGCAGACAGAATATTTGTGCATTGGAATCGAGTTGGAATGCTGGCAGCTATTCATACGGTCTGAATCCTTCTCATACTATGCACGCGCTTTGGGGCTGATCCGCGTTTGTTCATCGTCCCTAGACAGTCCATCTTCACGTCCATATTGTTAGTCCTTGATACTTTTCAATAGAGACAATTATTAGAACAGGGGACGTTTCGACCATCCGTGACTGTCCGTGATGGTATATAGCCCTGTGTTCAGAAATCCGATTTCTGATGGGACAACCGTACAACTGAGTGCCGAGGTCAGGTAAAGAGTTTTGATGGCGTACCAAAATAAATACCTAATCTCCATCGGTTGCACTGTTTGATGTTGTTTTCGCGCGTGTAATCAAATCTTTGTTAATCCAGTTAATGACTGGAAATAAACCAGCACTGATCGAAATCAGGACCGGATATGGAGATGTGGACACCATCCGCACGGGACTTGTGTTAAAGTTCTCATTTAGGAACCACCTGATCAACTGACTCATAAGTATGTATTGCTCCTACACAAATCTGTTTAACTCTGTTTATTTTTGAACGGCTCTCACGGAACTTTATCCTTCCCCCCCCCCGTTTTCCGTGACTGGTCGACCTAATAAGTTGGTAGCCAAAAGGTATTAACCCAAACCAGGACAGGAAACTGTAAGGTTAACCAGTTTGTAAATAAAACACCAACCTCGGCAGTTGTGAAGGTCTTGACATAACTCAACAATGGGTAAGAGTCACCTGACTGATTCAAAACTAACCTGAACACAAGACCGCGATCTCTCTCGGTCACATCATGCAATTGGACGACAATTCGTTCCGCGGACGGATAACTGACAATGAACCGATGCAGCTGTTCGACCAGACTGCCATTGGATAGCGTAACCTGTGGTCGTACTCCCGGTTTCCCCGAGACACACTCGATTTCCAAAGTGCCGTATGGACGAACCCTGGGTTCTGTAGGCCGGAAGCTCGGTCCAGTTGCTAAAAATGAAAAAAAATAAGTGACGTACTGATAAGATATTTTGAGTGAACATGGTCTTCTTACGCACTCCTCCGCATGTAGAAGAACAACTTAAGCAAATTTGCTCAAATTAGGAAGCGCTGCAGTCATCAACATTAGAATGAAAATATACGGAGTGGAATCACAAGAAAACCTGTTAAATCGTTAATTTACTGTCATAGTTGACAGTCATCAAAACCACTAGTTTTCATTCGAAAATGCCCTCTCTCTCTACCTGAGGCAGCGCGTCATTTTATGCATACCATTTATACCATTTATCGAAATTGCATTTTTCGTAGTACAGTACGCGATCTGGAATAGAGATCAGGCGGATGTGGCGATGGATTTGTACTGTATTCTATCGTGTCAGAACAGCTCTGGCAGACATCCACCTTTAAAAGCTGATGGTCTTTGCGGAGAAAGCAACTCGACGAAGACATTGTTGGGTGTAGGCTTTTCAAAGGGATATTTGGAATGCGGTAAACCAATAATCCTCGGAAAAAAGAAACAAATCGGTTGATACCCATGTAATCCTCGGAATGTGTCATGTAACTCTGAAAATGTGGTTCGTATGCACAATTCTCTCAGATAGCAAGTAGTACTTGGTTTTCAAAATAACGAGGTCCGATATACTGGCGACTGTACGAAGCGTTTGGGGTATGTCAAGTTCGTGAATCAGATCTTGACCTTTTCTGCCCAACGGTGGTTGAATGATGGAATTCATATAAGTGAACGCGCGCGCACACACACGCACACACACATATCTGACGTACTGTGAGCGTTTAACTCCAGATCAGATGCGTTACTTATCCATATTCGCAGTTGTGTGTGATAGATTGGCCCCCGTGAGGCAATTTAAATGTGTTTGCTTGCGTAGTTGATCGTGGTTTCGAATAAGGAAAACATTGGTTTAGTTAGTAAACGATTTAGTCTACCACGCAACCCGGAATCAGGTCTTTCAACTATCCGCAAAGTTACCTGTATTCTAATAGAGTCAAATGTATCACAAAATAGGTTTATTTTACAAACATTCAACTCTTTACCAGTTGCAGAAGTTGATTTCGTGATACACCAGCTCGAACAAGCTAAGCACGGAAGGAGAACAATTGGTAACACAGCCCTACTACCCAAAAGAAGTAGCTGTGCGCGATGCAGAATGTCATAAGTTACTTGTTGGACGGTTTCAGAACTGCAGTATGACTTTTTGTCCTCTAACTCCACTACCTGGTGGCATTTACTCAACCACAAAAAAGTGATGAACATAAACTCCGCGTTTTACTCTGACGCCTAAACCGGATTGGAAGAGAGAGAGAGAGCAAAATTGACCGTTTGAATACCTGTTGGTGAAGCATCTCTTACGTCTACCGTCAGGCAAACAGGCAAAACCGACGCGGTGCCTTTGTATTTTTAATGCACAAATTTGAATGGAGAAGAAAATAACTCATGATCACTCAGTTTTGCCATGGTGTGACAAATCCGGTAGCAAAGTTCAACATCATCATCCAGCGAGTTGTCGCCTGAACCTTTTTAAGGACCCTGAGACTGGGTCTAAGAGAGAGAGAGAGAAATAAATCCGCCTTGCTAGAATGGATTGCAGTCGTCAGTTGGTTGTGTACACTGAGATTTAGTGGTTTGTAGGTACGCAGTCACTGCCTCATTAGACGCAAATCATTCATTATCTCAGAGTACAGGACTGTTACCCGAATGCAGTCACCAAAATCTCCTCCTCCTCATGCATGATTTTTTCTTTAATCTATATTGTAGCACGAGATATGAATGCCAGAATTTGTCGGCTGTTTGCGAACGAGTCGATGCAGAGAAACACTTCTGAGCTAGATTCCTGCCACTTGCAACAGGAAAACGGTTCTTGGCGTTTTGCTCTGATTCCTGGTTATTTCTCGTCTGTACGAAATTCAGACACCCACATTGTCGTTATCTAACTTGGTATCTGCTCCCCTTAGATCAATGATGGATCCAGATCAAGCATATAAATGTGAGCCACAAATGCTGCGAGTGGACCGTATGAAGTGCCAACCTCTACTTAGATTACACATTACTTTTTGCTAATCTGTTCATACGTTTCAATTGAGGTTTTAAAAGCATGATAAAGCAACGGTCATACCGCGATCTGTACTAGCTTGTGTAACTATCGTTCAAAACGCGCTGACTTGTAATATACATCAGTACCCGTATTCGGTCCGGCCTAGTGAGCTGTAACTTAACGAGTTGTGGCAAGATACCCCGCAGCTCGCCTGGTTCTTTATGTTTATTTTAAACGAGCCGAGGACTTCAGGTTGGCAGCAGCCTAGAAAAATAAGGCTCGTAAAAAGACGTGAATTTAACTTAAGGTTATACAGAGATCCCACATTCTGGAAAGAAACGCTGCGAACTTCTCACAAGTTGCTTCACCTTATCCGGGTAATTGGTAGATAAGCATTAGGTGGGAACGAAACAATCTGTGAAGCTGACGACCCACCGCTATGCAAAATCAGTAGCGACTTCCCTTATACTCGGCCGAGTACCGTGGATCAGAGTGTGGTTGAGCAGTAGCATCAGCAGCCTAAATTGATTTGGATCGCTTGGCAATAGAGTAATCTGAATACGGTAATGTGCACTGTATGATCCAAATGCAAAGTGCTCGTGCAAGACTAGAGGGGGCCTGAGCCTTCCTTCACTCTCTCTGATGATCAGCTAGAATTAGTTGAGAGCTCTAAGCACCTCGGGAGTTTGGTCGTGGCTGGATGGGGTGTTGGGAAAGAGATCAAATCAGGAGAAGCAAAAGTCATGTGAGCGTTTTCAACTTACAACATCAAATGAGGCCGGGGGTGTCACTTGCACCCAAATCGTGTGAAACTTTAGAGCCGTCTAGTCGGCACGCTCCGTTAGACACGCTACGGTATTTCCGACCGCGAACCCCGAAGCATAAACCAGCGCGTTCAGAATTATTTTTGAAGTCTTCCTGTAATTTCTAAGTAATTATTGATAGTAAACTAAATAGAGTATCCCATGTGCCACGCATATACCGTTGGCACTGCAGAATGAAGAAACTTAGATTTTAGTTGCTGAAAGAAATTCCTCAATACCCCGGGTAGCCAACACATCATTATTTCGACGCGAACTCTAAAGAAACTAAAATTCCATGAGCTGATTTCATGATATCATCCTCGGTTGCCTTAGAATCTGATTTGAATTGAACGTCTGCTATTACACAGTCTAACTGGTTGACGAGAACAACTTTAATGTGCAATTTGAGCATCTAAGTTCTTTCTAATAGGCATTTCACTGTTCATTCATCACTCACCGCAGTCCCTCTCATCACTACCGTCGGCACAGTCAACACGCCCGTCACATTTCGCATGCGGCCCAATACACTCGCCAGAAGAACAATACATGTTCGGAGGGAGACAGGGAACACCTGCGGAATTTTGAAATAAACAGATAAATGAGTAATAAATTCAGTATCTTAGTTTGATACATAGACAACCGGCAGGACCGAATGCCTTGAATGTGTACAGGTTGGGTGGAAAAAAGACCTTGATTAACACTGGAATGATCGGGGTGCTTTCCGGTATCGACGAGTACACGCAAACATATCAATCCGATGTCAATTAACGCTTGTGGGCCTTGGGTACTTTGAAAGTGACAATCCTTTTTAAACGGCCCAGGATGGATTTGTGTTCCCCTTTAATTGGTTACGTCACATATGATCAAATGATTCACTGGACATTAACATAGGGTTTCTATGAAATGTGAAATGATTTGTGGAAGATTTCTAACCACCGATACGTTTAAATTAACTCAAAAAGGGCGAGAAGAGCAATAAGACTCCTTAAAATCTATTCCTTATGATAAGTAATAGAGGGTTTGAAACGGCAAATCAGGTCACGACCACAATTCTCACCAATGTTACTCTCAGACTCTAACTTCAAGCGAAACCCTTTGTTCATTCAGTCATCCATACAGCCAGGAGGCACCAAACTCTCCGGTCACTCTTGTTAGAGTTCATTAAAACTGTACTCATCCCCCGAATCAAACAAAGCTAGAGTAGCGAACTGAACACGTGATTTGAAAAAACTGCTTTAAGAATGCCCCAATGCTGATTAGAAGTGCTGCGGGACTTTCAGTTTTTGGTCTGATTGGGAACATCTATTCATATACACCTAGTGCAGGACCTGATACGGATATCCTTCGAACGGATTTCACAAAGAACTGTTTTAAAGGATGGATCGGTTATCAACCATCACACATGATTTTACTGAAAGTAAAATGTGTTGAGGGAGAGGAAAATTGAGAAATTCCGTAATGCATAAAATTTATAAAATGCGATCGATCAAAAGCACTTTGTTTCTAAATTTGTGTGGGCTGAAATATGAACAAGTTGAGATGATTAGACTAATTGTCCTGGAAGACAACAGACATCTGAACACACTTAATTCTATAGTGCTGGTGACACCCTCGAGTATAAAATGTTTGACGCACATCAGCGTGAAGACCATCACTGTGAGACTGCACCTTGATGTGGCGTGATAGCTTGCGTGCCTCCATGATCCTGTAAATAACACAGGATAGCTTTCCAATTCTGCAGATCCGATCACGCCTGAAAGGTCAATGGGTCGAGGCCAGAAAAAGCTCAGTCTCACTAGGCCAGCTGCCTTGGCCTCCTGACTCCCTCGGGATATCTACCCTCACCTCTGAATAGGTTAATTCAGCAAATAAACACAAGGGGATGGATAAAGGGGCGGGTTATCGGGGGATGCCTCCCGACGGTGGGAGAAGTCCTCGCTTCGTCCACCGCCCGTCAAAACTGGGCAGACCCCAGCCAAAAGGGTGCTGTCCCGTCTACGTTCCGTCTGTTTCATTGGGTACATGAGACCAAGGGCTTATCCCGATCAGCGGGCCGACACACTAGTGAACTGCAGGTTGAACAGAAACCCAAAGGTGACAGGTGTATGGAATCTCCCACACGGCTACTTTGTTCACGCTCTCTCGTTAGATGTACGCCTCACTGTCTTACGGGTCAGACTTTTGAGTCGAAGTCTCCGCTTAAGGGTTCCAAAGGAAAACCTCTTCGTCGGAGTGGGCTACCTTGATGTATGTTGTGCAAAGTCTTGGAGCGCGTGGTCGACTACATTGGTTGGGATGTGTTGTGCATGTCACCAAACAGATTGCCACGGCGCGTGCTGTTTGCCAGGTGGGTAAAAAAAGTAAAGGGTGGTCAAAATCAGACGGTATGAAACATGAAAACCCTAACCAGGAGACTTGCTCACACAGGCCACGTTAGTCTCCCTGACTAGGGATCGGTGTAATCACTGGCTAGAGACATTGAGCGATATGACTGAGTGGCGCTCGTGCATCTTCTCAAGTTCTTAACAACCTTATTCTTCATGAATTCTCTATTGTCAGTTTGACACCGATTTGAACCCTCCAATCTTTCCTTTATCTCTTCATATAAATGGGAAATCATGACACAGCAACCAGAACGGTTGCATGGTTAATGGTTATAAAAACTGAAATTGGAACTCAGCATGAAGATCCAGAGTGTGCAGATCCAATGGGATAGTGGATGTCCACTACTGAGGAGAGTACCACTCGTGTCCGGTGATTTCTGACTGTACGACGAAGCGGAGATAACGGGTGAAGATGAAGGATGATCAACCAACCACACAACCTTGCGTGCTTTGGGAGGGTTGGAGAAATGAAACTATCGTCCCAGAACTTGAGAGCCGTGAAACGACTTTGCAATAGAATTTTTCTCGCAGTTAACTCGGAAACTGAAACTGTGCATTTACAACGGCGTCGCTCATTCAATAGTAGCCCAGATCAGATTAGCCCCATAAAACCTAACTGAGACTGCAACTGGTTTCTCTCAGCAAATCCGCGAGTTACTCGACGTCAAGGGGAGGGGGGGTCAGAGATCAGAGCTGGTGCACTTACGGCATCCCTGTTCGTCGAAACCGTCCTGACAATCTCTTCGTCCGTCACATCGTTGCTCGTTTCTGATGCACTCACCGGAGGGGCATTGAATATTTGGCGGAAAACAGGTACTTGCTGAAAACGGGGGAACATTGGAAGGAAAATGCAAATATATAAAGGAAAGTGACATTAGACGGGGAAACAGGGGTAGGGTATTGAGATGAAGAGATCGCGGTATCGAGATAATTTTATGTTTACCTGTGAACTGGGTATACTGTCCTGCTCGTTTCGGTTTTCCGTAAACAATGCGACAGACGGCATCATCTAAGTTATAATGTATTGGGACATCTAGGGCTGCGAGACAGCCACACTACCACCACCACCCCTCCCCATCGACAATGAGGTTGACCATTATGTGCCAGTATTGGACAAAGATGTACTTTCCGCTACGGCGAGAACCATATTTATCACCGAAGTAAAGAGGTTTGAAACGATGTCCGATAACTGAATATCGCTCAAACGCTTTGCGGTCTTATTTCAATCACTCTTTCCTAGGTTCTAATGACCTCAGTGTGACCCCAAAGCGCCATCCAAAATTTTCCTCTTTCCTGTTAGTCTGAAACGAGCTGTTAGATAACTTTCAGTCGTCATATGCGCACTCTTCCACGTTTAGAGCTGTTCTGGAGATATGTGCTTCTAAGCCACTCAGCCGAGACAAATGCAAGAAATTGGCTGTGATTATGTGAGTCAAAATGCCCTTCCTGATGCAATGTGTAAAAAGTCAAAAGAAACCAGCTGGTTCGGATTTCCCATTTCCATGTCAACATGTACACCGAGGAGAGTATGAACTGCGTCACATGTTCGAAATCGTGCAGATGCCATTGAACGAGTACGATAAAACAATGAGGATTGGATAAGACAAATGTATCCAGTTTCTTTGCAGTTCAACACACACACACACACATCGTTATACGCCCACATAAATTATGGGATCGGAATGAAATTGGCAGCGTTGATGCATGACCAGAACAAGTTTTATGGCATTTGTCGGGTACGATTGCAATAAAAACAAAAACACACATGTTTCTGGGTTTTATTAATTGCACATAATTGATGCCCAATTTATCGCCTGATGTTGTTGTTTTTGTTATTTTCCCGTCTTTCTCCTCCTCCACCTGCTTAAGAATATGTGGTCATTAGCCCCGTTTATGGACATAGCGAATGGTTAAGCTGCCAACAGACAGTTATCTGCAGGAGTAATTGAATTGGGCCGGATAGAAGGAACCCAACTGAATGGGGATTGTTTAGTATCCAGTCCGTCGAACTGATGTAATCTAGCCAGTGCGGCTCTGACGCTTAACGCACTGTACCGTCAGCTGAGAGATCTAGCTAGTCAATAAGTCAGAATACGATCACCTGATGGAGAGATAGTGACTGTGTGCATGCCGGATCATCTTACCTAGCTAAAGTTTTTTCGCATACTGTTCAATGCGACGGTGATGGTAATCTCAAGAGGTCAAGGTCACAATCACATCAACTGGGAGAATGTGCGATCTATATTCTCACAAACGCCGGTTTCTGGACTTCCCCGAATCGACTGCAGTTCACATTCATCCAGTTTGCAGTGAATAAAAGGTGAATTGAAAAAAACGGCAAAAAACCGGGTGAGCTAGATAGTGAACATCAGAGATTCTCAACTAAACTCATTATCTCAACCGTACACAACTCCACTCCAGATCATAATCTGTTGACTCCTGTCCACCAAACGTAGTGATTATACTATTACTGATAGGTACATGAAAATGGGCTATCTCTCATGAATCACTTGTATCTTGAATACAACCGGAAGAAGGGCAATCCAATTCAGATTCATATTTGGTCACTTTACGCATCGGAAATGAAAATGGTTGCTATTTTCATTGATTTCATTGAATAAAATAGCTTAATTGACTTCCACGGAGGGTTTATGGCTTGAACGTTGGGCCCCGTTCTACGAGNNNCGAGCCAGTCGGTAGAGAGAGAGAAAAAACTATCTGTCGAGTTCCAGAGTCAAAATATCCACATCTTGCTTGTTTTTACCTCATACCAATCACAGGTTTTTCAAAACTTCCCCGCAAAAGTGAGGATGGTGGTGGCACACTGATTTATTCACTGTCACCAACGTGCTTTCGACCCTGTGGTTCGAAGTTCAAGCCCCGCCACCACCACCCAACTTTAGAGGTAGGCTGCGTTGTTGTCGTCTGGTTCAATGCCAAGCTTAACCCAGTGGGACCTTAGCAGAGCTGATTCACACGTCATTGGTCGATCGATCACTCTGCTGACGGTGATACCCATGGGGTTTGGTTGAAGAAGCAGCATGAAAGGTAAAATGGATCTAATTTTTCTCTCTTAATTGGCCTAAATTAATTCTTTAACATCATATTCCAAAAATACAGCATCATGATTGCTCCAAATTGCTCGGATGTTGCATTTTGGTTAGGAACGAGGAAAGAATCCTAGAGCGGATTGCTGATGCGCCTTGAACAGAAACAGCTCCAGAGAGTGCATGTTTTCCGTTTCATTCATCATTTGCTGACTAAAACGGAGCAGAACATAGAATATAGAATATCTATCATGGGGTTCGGTTACGGGTCAAAAGAGTTTATCAGTTAATAAGGGAGGAGTATTTCAGCCGCGTAAAAGCTATTGGAAAGAGACAAGTGTCGTGATTTCAAGAACCACATTTCTGTCACTGTAGTGATAACCACTGGGCTGATACCAGAGACCGGAGGGCAGCAGTGCCAAACGCGTTACTTTGCACGAAAGCCTCACATTGATGCACCAGCCGGTCATCATTATTTTCAGATAAAACTGCTGACAAGAAAAACAATTCCATCCCCGATGTATTGACCTGGTCAATGCTCGTCTACCAATTCAGGTGCACCTGTGTTGCCACTTATGCAAGTCGTACTACAAGGTAGTTACCGAAACACATCAAGGAACATCAACCCGTGTTTGATTGTTACACACTTCGTCGAAACTGGATATAGGGTGGATGCTAATTCGGCTTTTAACATCATTTACCCCATTCCAGAACACAAATCCAAGGCTGTTTCGATTAAAACCCTAGCAACAACCGAGGCAATTATCATCCGCTTGTTGAAGGTAGAATTGTGTGCTCAAAACACTTGTTCAGGCACTTGAACTTCCCTGGCCCAAAGCGGGAAACATCACGCATGAGTGTAGTGATGACCCAGATCAATTACTAACGCTTACTTAACCCGTTCTCGTCCAAACAAGAGAACTGGAGACAAACGTGTCCTTACCCCACCCCTTTGCCATAAGTATTTGACCTCTAATGTTTGACACTAACACAACGCTCTCCCGTTAATTTTTAACATAAATGTAATTGTAATGGTTTGAGGAGGAACTCAGCGAAAACATATGTTCGCCTACGATCTGTGTTGTGAATAAACTCCCCAGTTGTCACTTGAGAGTGAGGATGGTAAGATGCAAAACAAAATGTACTCATCCTTCAGGAATTGTTGACTGCCGATGTTAACCTAGTTAGCGATATTTGGCTGAAACGAGTGTGTAAGCCACTCTGAAGTATTTGGTAGGGATTCGATGAGAAATTCACATAGAACTCAAATGAGTGGGCTTTGATGGTTAGGACATGCATTGGATTTTTCCCAGCTGTCGTCCTACGACATAGCGCCTTGTTTGCCGTTGCGCGTCAGGTTGGAGACCAGAAGATGACGTGGAAACGAGGCATGAAGAAATAGACAGGGCGGTTAGATAGAGTAAGTGTTTCCAATTTTCAAGGTAGGGGCCCGAAAGACTCTGTAAGTGGTTGGTTGGAAACACTGAAGGTTCTGGCAATTAACCAACAGCAATGGCGTTCTTGTTGTCATTTCTTGTCGGGCCAAAAGGCTTGAAAAGGTATGTGTATGCACAAATAGGTTTTGCACTATGCGTGTTGACCAAAGAGGTTCACTTTCTTTACTTCCATTCAATTAGGTCCAATCCCTATCCATCTCATACTTTCTCACTTATTTTGTGTACATGGAGAGCTTGGCAGCTATCAGTGGAGTTCACTTCTTTGTGTCTCGCTGTACAATGTTGATGCTGATGATGATGCAGTGTCCTCGTACGAATTCCTCATTGAATTTTATGTTTAAAAATATATAAGGCAGACTAGGACTTAGAGTGATGAATCACGGTGATTCGTTCTGCCTGCAAATTTGAATGATAACGATGGAGCTCGAACGCTGGATATGAAGCACAAGTCCGTCCAATCACAGCAGCTTGGCTCTTTGACATTGGTCGGTTAAATCCCGTTAATCCGTAGGGTACAACTTGATTTAGTTTTCGTGCCTTCTTTGCAGGAAAACTGTTCTGTAATTGTGAAGCACGCACACTGGCCGATGTTTGTTGTCAAATGGTTCTGTTCAATTCAAGTTGTCACTTTTTGCACCTCAATGGGTGATTTGAAACGACTGGAAAACGCAAACACTAGTCGCCATGTTTTACTCTCGCGGGACTGTGATCTGAAGCCTGCGAATGGTCTATTATAATGATATATTTTGAGAAAAAGTTGAACCTAAGAGATCATTTTAAGCTTTAGTTTATTAAGAAATATAACTTTCTAACTTGCGAAACAATACCAGCGGTAGACTGTTTGCCCCCGATAGACAGTTTAAATTCATTTCATTTTTTTGATTAGGATACTTCTATTCCTGTGTAAGTGTATATTTGTGTGTCACGGGGTTGATGTGGGAGTATAAACCAAAATTTTGGGTTACTTACGACAATTGATTTCATCCGATCCGTCTGCACAATCGCGACGTCCATCACATCGTTGACCGGGGGTTAGACATTCTCCACTACCGCACTCGAATTTCGGACTTGGACAACGTGAAGCTGAAACGAGAGCGAGAAAAAGAATCACCGGAGGCTCCAAATCTGATGAAGATTTAAGTAACATAAACATTTGTAGAGGAAAAAGGAGAGACATGGGTTGGAGTCATTTGCATAAGCGGTTGACTACGCAAATTGCACAAGCAGCACAAGCAGTTTTTCAAAACATTACATAAATAAGCTGAACCATGATCACCATAACGCCATCTAAATTCCGCAATAATTTCTGACATAGAAACACTGCATCTCACCGGGAAAATGAATTAGATCACTATCAGGAGGGAAATGGAAAACAGAAACTAGGGCATTGATGAAAAAACAATTTCCGTATCTGTCCTTTCAGCGCGCATCAACCAGCGCTATGAGGGTTTGAACTCGTTGCCGGTGAAATAAGCAAATATGACCAGTTGAGCCGTACTCACAAAACTGAGATGGGCTCCGCTATCCTAATATCACCGTGTTTCAGTGTGTGTTTGTGGAACCGCGAATAATGTTTACTTCTCAACTAAACAGCTTGTCGATTACCTAGATGCACGTTGACTATTTATGTCAAAGGACCTCGAATCCTGGGGTTCTTCAAAGACACGAGCAAATTGCGTTACCAAGCCGGTGGAGTGGGAATTCGGGCTTTGATCTTCAGCCGAGTAAGTTCGAAAATGCACAGACTCCGGGCCGTCCAACGTTCCGCGTGTCCACGGAGAAATCTTCTGATGATTGTTGTTGTTGATGATGACTATGAGGGCGATTTATTCATTTGTGAATAAACAATTGAATAAGTAGAAACGATCTGACGACATAAATTGCAGTACGTTGATTTGAACCCCTGTTAAACTCGACTTTATTGATCGATTCTGAGGAGGCCTGCTCATATCCTCTGTCACGTTGTGGTTTTGGATTGTTTCTACAATGTAGCCCAAATCTAGCTTGCATCCAGTGAATCCAATTTTACCAGTCTCGTAATTTGTCTGGTTTTCGCGAAGGAAATCGAAGAGAATCTGTTCCCCTCGCCCCTTTAGCCTGCTAAAAATTGTCAATTCCAGGGCGTAATGATTACGTGAAATTGTCTAATTCATTTTGACCATCATCGTCATCTTAGGCGCACACAAACACAACTGACCACAGCTCGTCCGGTTGTGTCCTCAACGATTTCACAGTGCGGTCACATGTGGCCGTGTTACGAGTGATCGGCCAGTACTGTAACTGTTATATTGTTTTACTGCATTCGTTAAGATAGGACTTTACGTTTGCACGTGTTTGTATTTTGCGTACAAACTTGTTTTTGGTTCAGAATGCATCCATTGTAAGGAGGTATATTTTTGTTTTCCTTGAGAATTTAACTCTGTCCTGTTGAAACAAGATGCAGTGTATGGTTCCAGTTAGAAGAGTCCACCATTCGGGGTTATTTTGGTCACAAATTCAGTAAAAATCTCTGCTATTATTATTGCAATTTTGATTATTTAAACAATACAGAAAAAAGAAATATGTCACGAGATGTTAATATTTCGTTTTATTCTTCTCAGCCACTGATTTATATCAAGCAGGCGAATGTATAACAAATGGAGTTGTTCAATTATGGCGATTACACGAAATGGTAACATCTCGCCACATTTGTCCTCTTGCTGTATTTATGAAATGGATAAAGAAGGCTTAATCTTTCAACTTATCATTATTGACAATAATAATAATAACCAAAACGTAAGAATACGGGCACTGATGTAATTGAATATTGATGAAATACAACACTACGGAACCGAGATAAGATGAAAGTGAGCAAGAGGCCACACTTACGACAGCCCCGTTCATCAAATCCATCACGACAGTCCTGCCGACCGTCACATCGTCTGGATGGATCGATACACTCGCCGGACGGGCATGCGATTTTAGGCGCATGGCAGGTCAAATTTGCTGATCGGATTTGGTGACCAAGCGTAAGCGTAGGATGACGGGTGGGGGTATTTTAAGGGTAGCACCCGATGGGTTAGGAGTGGCGGGTATCACGAGGAAGGCAGCATGCATGTATATAGATAATTATATCGATGAACTGTGTAATGTATGAGCGTATATAAGTTAACTGAATTTTTGGGCAGCAAAGGTAGCAGGCCAATACCATAGTAAAAACAAAATTGACTTTATTGAAAAAGGTTTGAGTAAAAGAATCAACCAGTAGTACTGGTCGTGTGCCACCTAAAGTACTCGTGAACAACTTGCACACAATCGAACTAAGGCCAAACTTTTCAACCCATCCACCCACCTCCCCTCTCGCTCTCGTTTTGACCCAATCACATGGCCAAAGAATACAAAAATACTCTGGCTTGTATAGTTGATCAACTAATTTCCGGAACTGCGGGAGAAATCGGGAACTATTAAAACAGGCTTCGCAACGAAATATTCTGTCCAAAGCTAACAGTTATCCTCCTCCTGCTTCACTACCCCGTACCTTACTCAAGCGTGATGATTGCCATTCCCGCATCTCGGGTTAATTTTGCTGAACAAATCAATGTGGAAGACTAAACAGATGATCACACTCTTCCCTTAGATTCACATATGCAATCGCACATGTTCGTCCAACTCAATTGAAATGGGCTAAAGTGAAATTCTATGTGGGTAACCTTGCGCGTGACCACGGACAAAAATTTTCGTTTCACGCTCATTAGGACTGGTCAGCATTGTGTGTGCCCCTGTCGGGACTCGAAGCACGAATCACGGGTTTGGAAAGATTATTTAACACGTTGTTCAAAACCCATACAAATTCTCATTCGTTAGGGGAGGGGAGGGGTTGTGTAATTGGGCATTGTGTTGGTTTACCTCATTGGGATTTTTTTCACCCCACCACCACCACCACCACAAATTAATAAAGACCAACGAAGTGTAATAGACGTCTGTTTCATCCTTTTCGGAATCTACCCTCAAGGGTGGATTCCTGCTAAGGGTAAATATGATGAGGGGTGGTTTCGAGTTATAATCAAGACAAACAGCTATTCATTGCCCGTTGTCGGTGATCATCTGCAAAGTACATCTACATGTTAAACGTGACTGAAGAATAAAGGTTCCCTGAAATGAATAAGCCTCATACAATAAGACCGTTTTACGGACCCCGAGTTCGGTCAAAAAGTAAACGCTCAATTGAGAATAGGTTAAGATTCAAGTGCAATCCATGTGATAGAGCTTTCCATTGCACTGGTTTATTTGAATATCCTCCTTAATAATGATACTAACATTTCGCTTCATCCCCTCCCCCCGTCCCCCACACGCATGAGAAGACATAGATTTGGCTACCACTCATATCGTTTTCCTTATACATCACGAGCGCTCATACCATTTGCACAAAAGCTCTCCCAGATCGGAGCCGGATACTTTTGAATAATGGAGAAATTTTACTGATTGTAACCATGTACGTTCAGAGTGCACAAATGACTCTTAATGGCAACTTAACCTGGTTACTGTTCGAACAGCTGAGCTACTGTACAATGGTCCCATGAAAAACAGACAGAGCTCACATCTTCCTTTTCTTGTTCCTCAATAATGTCTTCTATCAGAGTACGAACGCACGTGAAATTTTAAGTTCTTCTTCTCGCATTCATTTTGCTGTGCAAATGATAACAAACCTGGGATCGAACTACAACACGGGAAAGAGTGTGGTTCTGAGAGTATCGGGAAAATCTATCCACTGAACAGTTATTTGAGCAGTCACTGGAATGACGCCAAACTGACTTGCGTCAGTCACCAAATCGAATTCGACCGGACCAACAGAATGGACCTCTGCTCCGGTCTCGTTAACCTCACTGTGGAAATTTTAATTTAACGCTTTTATTTGTTATCATGCTATCTTGTACTTCTCAATGAGGTCGGGGACACTGACATCTACAGTTACTGGAGAGTACGTTTGAGTGATTGCTCGCTGAATAACACGATCAGACGTTTAGAACCATACTTGATCTAGACGTCTATACCACAGGAATTAGGTAAATTCAGTTTTAATATAATCAGTTGTATAATAAACCAATGTCGTGTATTTAATTGAACAATTTTTTCACATCGAGTGCAAGACAGAGAGACTTGGCATCTGTAACAGTCAGAAACCTAAATCATAGTGATTCAGTGTTTTCTGCGATTAACAGCCTTAGATCAAGGTGATCACGTCTTGTTCGCGGCTGGGTCATGCGTGCTCAATGTGACAATACGTTGCCTCGAAGATCACATGGATCAAGTTCACCCAGTTCCTAACACATGCACACAAGCGAGCACCGTGAATTCGTTTTCAACGAAACCACTACCCTTTGTAAACGTAGCTCGTCTTTGTTGCTCTCCCGTCATTCAGACACAGGAAACATCGTTTCTGATCGAACAGAATACTCGCTGGTTGTTGGGTGGGACGAGCCTTTGCGATCAACACTGAGTAAGTCCATTGATACACAAGCTAAACAGCACGAGTGATGGCTATAACCCACATAGAAAGCCCCAATAACGAAACAAACTGCCGTGAAAGTAGATAGCATCAGATGGTACCCATGTTACCGAATAATGAAACAAGGGCAGAGAACCAATCATACAGTGTGGTTCTTGGGCCAAATCCATGGTTTCTCACTAAGCACTTGTATCTCGTTCTTGTTGTTGTTGTGTACATAGTGATCATTTTACGTATTACATCAGAAGGCGACAAACAATGGAAATGAAAAGCAGCGTACGAAAAAAATCCCGGAGGAAAGAGGAGTTTTACGCAAATAAACGAGGGTTACAAAGTAGTCCGTGTTAGTTTTATCGGTGCTATAAATCACATCAGAAAGATATGTTCGAGTCTTCATGAGCATCGAAATATATAAGTTTATGTATACTTTCAAAGAAAATGACTCATGCTCGCGTTAAGGAATGTATTGACTGTTTCAAGGTCTCCGTACAGCATTGACTAACTACTTAAGTTATTTTACAGGAGAGTGCAAGGTTGCCTATCATACAATCAAAATTTGTCGAAACCATTTAAATTCTCTTCTAGTTAAATCCCAAATATGGGAAGCTTCTCGAATACTGTAACTAGACAACTGAATGTTCCAACTTTCAAAGCCGTTTATCCTATTTGGACACTGCAATTACAACTAGTGCTCGCTATAGACCAATAAAAGCTTTAGAGCACTTCAATGCTGAAATAATCAGAGCTTGTGGTGAGCAATCGCAGCTCCAAAACTAACATGCCGAATTGATTTATCCCCTGTGAACAGAACTTTTGGAAAATCGGATTTTGCCTAGGACAAGGCGATAAGTAATATTAATATATCAAACGAAAATTGGGCAAAGTATAAATCCGGATATTTGTTCCGGGGCAGTGAGACATGCACTGAAAAAGAATAATACAAGGGCAGCATGACAACAAGTGATTTTTACGTTGATGAATGAGATTTTGCATGCTCGGCGATGAAGGAGCACAAAAACCCTGGGACAATTAGTTTTTTTGTTAGCAAAACTGGGGCAATCACTCACCACAGCCCATTTCATCGGAACCATCCGGACACTGTCGAATACCATCACAAAATCCACTGGTTGGAATGCAACTGCCATCCATACAGAAGAAAGATTGAGGCGGG